TTCAGGTGAATTTTCTGCCACCATATACAGCAGTAGGACTGTGCTTACAATTGACAGAACAATACAGAAATAAATATTTCTAAAATATATTGTTGAACAGAAATGCAAGTGACTTTTTAAAATGCAGGAACCACATTTGTGATACCTAATGCTCTGAAAATAATATAAAGGAAGTAGAAGAAGGATCTGTAAACTGAGCACCCAATCAGCATAGTGCTGCCTCTTCTAGGAAAGTTTTTTCATAAATAAAAACTAGAGACCAGGTCCCAAATTCGTAACTCAAGAATAAAACCGGGATGAATTTAAGCCACTTTACCACTTGGAACTGGCTAGAAAAAAGAATTTAAAACTGAGTGTTATTAACTGAAAAAGTAATTTTATATCTGAGTAAGTTTACAGAGACTTAAATTTCCATTTCACTAAAGAAAAATTATTTGAAAAAAGGCCAGAAAGTAGCAAATTTGGAATAAATTTTTGAGAAAGAAAATTAACATGCAGTTTTCCCTAAAAATATCAATCTGACCAAAGCCATATTTTATCAATGAGGAAAAACACAATATAGAATATTGAGCATTTTAAAATGAAATTTCAAAATTTAGTAAATCACTATGTATATTATCCTTGGTATTATTATAATCATAAATTATTTTACTCTTGTCATTTTGTAAAATATCCAGCTGTCTTCCTCCCTGGTACCTGAGGCATGCAAATCCAGTTTATATTTTATATGTGTTTAGCAAGATGGAATTAGGATATTGATTCTTGGAGTTTTTATCATAATTCTTGTGTTTCTCATCACAGTTAATACTTATGCTACAAATTGTGGTAATGACACCAATATTTTCAGGAGGGCTGGCCCAGACAGCAGAATAATGGAAACATTTGAAAAACTAAGAAATACAATGGAAACAAAATCCCATCATGCACATTTCTTGTTTTTCTTAGAAAAATTATTCCATCAAAGCCTAAAATTATTACACTGACATTTTTCTTTTGCCTTTCAGTTACCCTTGCCTACTTAGTTATAACATACAAAAAGTAACAACCATAAATATGCTTTAGTGTCATTTGGTTTTATCATTGGATAATTACTAAAGTGGTTGCAGATTTTGTAGCCAGCAATGCCACTGATAAGTAGGAACCAAAATTATATGAAATAAAAATTAGCAATTTTAATTCTAATGAGTGTTATGCCACCTTTTTTCTCCCTAGGAAAAAAAATGGTATCAGTTGCACACGAATTTTATTGTTGGTGGTAGTAGTGATGATGGTGTTGCAAAAAAATGGAAATAAAAATCTATATAAACTGAGCTCTCAGAGTTAACTGCAAATATAAAAATAATAGCATTCATGTCTATTAATATTTCAGTGACTGGAATTGAAGAGATGAACAGACGATTTGTAGTTTAATGACAAGCTTAACTCTTAATGACAAATCTTGGTAGATTTAGGTATATTTGGCAGAAATGACATTACAAATCAGTAGTGACTTGAATTATTCAACATCACTGGTAAAAGTGACAACCCTTGTCATTTAGCCACTGAGCCTGATAGAAGTAAGATGGTGTTTCTATAACACAGACACAAAACAACTTTCCCGAGAGGGATCTAAAAGAACATCTAGCACCCTCTTCTTCTAGGCTTTAAGCCAGATTTGCCTCCAACCTTCATGGGAGAGAAAACCCAGTTCAGTTTCCATGACTTAAATACAAATCAGGTGTAAAGCAATTGCTTCATAAAACATGTATAGATCTAAACTTGTTCCTTCAAACTGAAATTAACTCAACTCACTTTTTCTTTATATCACTTTGATAAGTGATCCCTGTACACTTTCTCTGGTACTTTTCGGTAATCACTGCTATGATTTCTAAGGTAATTTTTATCCTCTTCCGTTCAACTATAGCTTATTTCCCAAGAATTCTCTTTATATTTTGTATAAAGAGGAATGAAACAATGATATGAGAGGTTTTTATTATTTCATATTAAAAAAAAAAAGAGCCCTATAGTATTTCTTTGCCACCTAATAGCTGAGTGACTCTTCCGGTTTAGGACATCAATTTGAGGGCAGAAAGCACTTCCTTCCTTGGCCTGTATCATGGTACCTTAAAAAGCTGGCCAAAGGTTGATGCCTACTGGGCAGAAATTAATTTGCTTTCTACCAATTGTTTATATGTTACAGTACTTTTAGGGTCTCATAAAACATTTGCTATGTCATTCAAGGAATCACAAAATCTGTTCTAATGATGGTGCTAATTTAGTTCGCAGTTACTTCCTTAATCAAATTGAAATGAGATACATGATTATGTCTTATATAAAATAGTTTCTTTGCATTCATGTCACACTGTGCTATCAGGGAGCAATATTTTTGCAGTATGTATTTTTACACTAACTGCAATAATAAGAGAATCACTGAGTCACGAGAACCAGAAAGCAGACAAGCCTGAAATCAGTATTTATGTAATGGTTGTCAATTATTTATATGACCTTTTACATTTCTAGAAAGGTCATAGTAAAGGGTTATTATTCTTAGTTTCAAATAGAGAAAAATACCAGGAAGTAATTGGCTGAAAGTTGAATAGCAAGTATATTCATATATTTATTGCAATGCTTTTCAAATAGTAGTCATCCAATGAAGTAGGAAAATCTCGGGAGAGAGAAGGCAGGAAGAGTGGGGAGGGGAGCTGAGAGAAGCAAAGAGGATGGAGAAAGAAAGGAAATTATAAAGACATAAGTGAAATTATATTTTTTGAATCAAACTCTTCTCCATTGTATTCTTCCCTATTAAAATCAAATTCTACCTCCTTGAAAAGAATTAATGTCCCTCTTGGAAATATGTTATCGGGTGTAGACCCTAAAATAAGCTTGCTCTCTTTGCTCCATCTAGTTATTTCTTTGATTTATTTCTATAATCAAACAGTATTTGAAAGTGGGTAGAACATTTTATATGCCACAGAGTATTGATTATACATAGGGTCTTAAACTGATGACTTATCTTATGACACCTTTGCCTTTACACATTTAGTGGCTTATATGCTTACCATAAACAAAGAACTAACAAACAGAGTAATAAAGGCATTGAGAAACAGAATTATGCACTGATAATGATGGTGTAATAATATATGGAAGTTGCACTGGTCCAGTCTTCCCTGTTACTTCACAGCAATAACTATCTGACATCATGTGATATCTTAAATTTACATAAGATCCAAACATTTCAATATGTCTTGAAAACTAGACTTATTTGTAATATATAAAGGCATATTCATTATACTCAGAAAGTAACATCTTAGGTTGAGTATGATTAGATCAAAAATTCTGCCTTACATTTTTCTAGCAGTTTTCTGTCAGTTGTGGAAGACTTGATAATATTTTTCATTACTGAAGTAATTCATATGTATAGATTAGATTCTAGGCCAAACTCAGATATATGCCTTAAACTAAGAAGCTTTTTCAGTTATAAGCAAAGCCTACAAAGGAGAAAACATAGGAAACAGGCAGCATGTGGGATATAGAAATAGATAAATTCTAAAAATAAAAATCAATGTTGGGGCTTCCCTGGTGGCGCAGTGGTTGAGAGTCTGCCTGCCGATGCAGGGGACGTGGGTTCATGCCCCGGTCCGAGAAGATCCCACATGCAGCGGAGCGGCTGGGCCCGTGAGCCATGGCCGCTGAGCCTGTGCGTCCGGAGCCTGTGCTCCGCAGTGGCAGAGGCCACAACAGTGAGAGGCCTGTGTAACGCAAAAAAAAAAAAAAAAAAAAAATCAATGTTGAAGGTCTTCCTAATACTTCCTTTATGGTTAGTCTTGGAAGCTCTTTAATTGTTGAGGAGATGTTCTTCTAAAACACCATCTTGGTTCGTCTACCTATGCTTAAATATAATGCTATATATAAAACACCTCTTTTGACATTTTTACCTGAGCTGCTCTCTGTTGCATGCCATGTGTGAGGTTCAAGGTAAATGGCAAAGATGGGGTAAATAGCTCTCTTCACCTTCTTGCTTTGTCAGTTTTGTGAGACTTCCTCACTGCTTACTCTGAATCAGTTAAAAAAAAAATAAATGTGAACACATGAGGACTCAAAAATCAGATTTGCAATTACTAGGTATATGATTAATAGTCATGTTTAATATTGTTTATTTATTTTTACCTTAGCAAAGAGATCTGAATGAGCCTTATACTCAAGTAGCCAGATTTTTTCATATCCTCACTACTGTCCCCCTGACTAGTAATGTTAAGATATGAATTCACAATCCAGTTTTCTAAACCATTAACAGATCCAACTAGGCCATTTCTATAGCAAAGGTGCTAAGCCAATATTAAAATGTCTTCAAAGTCTATTAACAATGATTATCAGTATTTTCCTTTCCACATTTCATGTGAAATGCTATCTGATATGGAGTCTGAGCAAAGATTGTATGCACTATTATCCAGTCAAAAAATTTTTTTATTGAGAAGGCATATAGTTTAGATATTAGAAATAAGCCAGGAAAAATAAATAAGGTTGAAGCTGCAGAGAATCTAGGATCTAGTGAGTATAATATTATCAGATCTTGATGCATATAGAGGACTGCAGAAAAGCAATAATGCAAATACATAAGACTGGATGGCAGACTTTGAAGGAATATACAATGAGTTAAGGAAAACTAACATGAACTCAGTTTGCCAAGGGAAATCAACAGTGGAAAAGTATATACCTTTTAAATACAATCAAACTGCAGTTCAGAAAAATCAAAGTAAACCATTTCACTTCTTTGTATGTTCAGGCATCCTAAAAGAAAAGTCAGTAACTTTGTTTTCAATCTACAATTGGGCGTTTCAAAATTAATCACTTTTGACAACATTTCTGCTTGCTAAAATTCTCCCGAGGATGATTATTCTTTTTATATTTTTCTGTAGTATATATGGCAATTTGCTTTATTTTATCTTTAACAAATACTGTTGTAATAAATATACATAAAAGATAAGATTGTGGTTTACTTTTTAAGTA